GTGACCAAAGCAGTCGTTAAGAGGTTTCAGACACCGAACATCTTTCTGCAAAAGTATCTGTTAAGCTTCTAACAAAGCAGCAAGGACACTTACCTGTCATGTCGCAGCGCCCTCATATCAACGTAAACAGTTGTGGGGTCAGGTCCTGAGGTGCCCTGAGAAACACCAGTGAGAGAAAGTGTGAACACCACAGACTCACAAAACGTCCTTTTTATTCAAAAAAAAGGCTTTTTATGCAAAATTTGCTACAGCTTATCGACTCGGATGCTGTGTGGTGCATTAGTGGTCATAAAGAAAAGCTTTACCTCCACTGAAGGAGGGGCGTAAATGTTTTGGGTGGGAAGGTGGGAACCCGACCCTCTACAGCAGGGGTGGGGAACTCCAGGCATCAAGAGCCGGTGTCCTGCAGGTTTTAGTTGATTCCTTGATCCAACACAGCTGATTTAATTGGCTAAATTACCTCCTCAACAAGTTCTCCAGAAGCCTGAGAACAAACTAATCATTTGATTGAGGTGTGTTGACCCAGGGTGAGATCTAAAACCTGCAGCACACCAGCGCTCGAGGCCGGGACTTCCCCACCTCTGATCTACAGCATTTACAACAGGGTGAAACGATCAATGTGGGAACAACAGCAGTGATTGTAGAAACAATTTAAAAAATAAATGCACATCAACAAACTTCCTGCAAAGTCACATTCTACCCGATTGACATGCAAACGATAAAGTAAAGAAGAAAGGGGAAAGTGATTCGTAGCTGAGCGATTATACCCGTGTGACGACCCACCCAGGACAAATTCACTGTTTCTAAAGTACACACAGGTTGCACAATACATGCATTCAGTCAGATCTCTTTGTGCCGATACTGTACTCTGAATGAGTGAAATCACTGAAGAAAAATTAAGACAGAGAAAAAGGACGACCTCTCTCCTCCTCCACCATCCATCCCTCCATTAATCCGGGATTAAAAACCCACCACCGGACACACGGCGGCATCCTGGGAGCCTTACGCCCACACACCCACAGTGCAAAAATGCAAACGCCCTCTCTGAAGAGAGTTCAGGCAGTGACCGCTTCAAGAGTATTCAGTGATTTACTGGCAAAGGGAAATTTGATTGGAACAGGCAGAGCAAACAACCTTTGGTGCTGGACTCACTAATAAGTGTGCAGACACACCACAGAGAGGCACATGCACATGTATCCTTGCACTGTCACGTATTCGTGATTTCTGGGAGTTAGCTACGAGCTTGTTGATAGCAGCGGAAACGTCTTGATGCATTCTCAATCATCCAGGAAAGTAAATCTCCAAAAGCTGATTCTGATCATCTGGACGTAGCGTTTGTGGGAGAAACGTTTCTTCAGTCTCAGCTGACTGCAGGTTTCCCCAATCTAATAAACAGCACATTTGCATAATGACTGAAACCAGCCCACTGAAGGAACAGTTCCTTCCACTGCATTGATCAACAACCACTGTGGTTGATGATCAATGCAGTGGAACTGACCTCCCAGCCCATGATTCATCGCTGTATAAATAAAAGTGAATTTTTAATACATTCACTGGTCTCATTGCTTTGAATCAGAAT